GGTCTTTTGGGGTTTACGGCTTCTAAGTTTGAAAACTTGGGGTTATATTGGGTTTTGGCTCGGATTCCCAGCAAGCGCGATACGCCTCAAATAAGGAAGATGAATTGAATCATCACAGTAGCCACAAGCAGGTCTGGGGGTTTGAGTTCAAGTCGTGAGCAGGTCCGAGGAGGAGTACTAACCCCGCAATGGAAGCCGTATAATCCTGAAGGCGGATCTAGGGCTTAGGGCTTAAGGTCTATATGAGGTATACGGTCTAGGGTTTACGCTTTCGGACCATGAGAAACTTTCCGCACAGATTTCCACAAACGCACTTAGAAACCGCTCCAGATGCCCGATGTGGCCTGTGCAGAGTGCCTCGTTACGGACAGTTCGGGGTTTATGGGGCGGGAATCATCCTAAGGGTCCATGTGCCCAAATGGTATATACATTCCACCTGCACCCTCATATACCCTAAATACCTCCTTATTAAGGGCGAATAAGGGCTCTATTAAAGGGCACTTGGGGGTGGGGTGCTGGTAATCGTCTTTAAATTGCACCTGTGAAGCCTTTAGCTTCATATGGCGCCGCTGATGCGTGCACAGGAGCGACCAATGCAAAAGCGCACCATGGCCGCATGAGCTTGTTGGAACGGCCCAAAGGGTCTGGGTCCTAAGTACCTCTCCCTGCCAGATCATAAAAGTGTCTATATATGTACATATATACATATGTACATATATATATATATATATGTATATGAAGGTAGGTACTTCAGACGATTTGGGAAGGGCTGTGTCCGGGGTCGTCGTGATAGCACATGCAGGATAGGTTTCAGGATTAAAGGTCCTCAAACCCCTAAACGTCATCTGCTTAGTTTAGGGTTTATAGGGTTTAGGGTCTGCTTTGGTAGCTTAGGGTATCTACCGGCACAGTGTTTGATCATCATCAAATGCCCGCCCCTCGTAGCTTCTGCATGACTGCGTCCGGATACTCGTCTGCGCATGTGGTCCACGCATGCACAGCGGCTGCGGGATTTGTGCTTATTGGGGTTTGGAAGGTTGCGCGGGTTAGGATTTAGGTTTCTTGATTTTCATGTGACCCTTTTGTGAAAGGGTCTCGCACAAGCCGGAGGTTCTATGGGTCGAAGAGAAAGGATCACGAGCGGGTCTTGACCGATCCATCTTCACTCCTGCGAACCCTAAACACTAAATCCTGAACCCTACATCCTAAATTCGAAAATCCTGAACCCTACACCCTAATTCCGAAATCCTGAACTCCTAAATCCTGAACCCCATAATTCCTAGATCCTGAACCCTGAACTGTACTGGCGAGGCCGGTTCTTGAAACTTTCGGTTCCTTGCAAGTGCGGTCTCCTGCAACATCAAGCCGGAAAACAAACCGTCAGGGTCCATGTCTTGGTTGCTGCGTTCATAGGCTCCAAAAAGTGTACATGTTTAGTTTATAGTTGGTAATGCTATCCCAACAAGTGTAATGTGTATCCACTCAACTACTAAGCTTACCCAAATAGATATATTCCATAATAAGGTCCCCTCTAAGGATACATAAGGGTACTATAAGGCTCCATAGTAGGGCCCCCTTTAAGGGTCCATGTACCCAACCAGTCTATACTTTGGCCCTCAAATAGCCCCTATATATTTGGGTACATGGACCGTTTGCACAACGTCAAAAAACACAAACCCAATTCTCTGAACCCACGATAAGACCTGACAGCCCTAGCGAGCATTTCTGAACGCGAAGTCCCAGCTTGAAGTAAAAAGCCGGAAACGGCTTCCAATGCCCAAAACCCCTTGCTGCAGAGCGGCTGGCGTGGCGCAGGAAGCTGCGAAGGCTCCGTCACAGGTTTCCCAACAGGTGGCTGGTTAAAGCCTGGGACGAACCCATAGACTTCGATCCTTTGTAAATGGAGGAACATCGGGTTTAGGGTTTAGGGGTTTAGGGGTTTATGGGTTTGAGGGTTTAGGGGTTTAGGGGTTTAGGGCATTTAAGCCGCCACAAGAGGGTTTCTATTATATTAATATAATGTCTACTCCCTGATTAAGGGGGGATGTTGGAGTCTCTGGGAATTCAAGCTGTTTTCGCAAGAATTTAAGCCAGTTCTTGCAGGGGTTCTATAGCCCAGAGGGTCCATGTATGCTACTAATATGGAATTGGGTCCCCCAAAACCATTATTAGGATGCCCTAAACCCAAAAGCCCCTAAACCCCTGCTTATTTGTGCACATGGTAAGGGCCTCTTCCAACAATGCTCAATCGGCTCCCTTGGGATTCGCAGTAACACAGGAATAAAAAGGCCCCCCTTTCTGGTATTCCTACTGTTGATGGTATAAATCCTGCATTACCTCAAGGACCCTAAACTATGGGAATTATGGTATACTCCTTATTATGGGTAGTGCAGGATCTATATCATCCACCGTAGTTGCTGAGTTCATAAGCCCCCAAAAGTGTACACTTTGGGTTTTTAGTGGGTAGTCTTATCCCCAACAAGTGTAAAGTGTATTGGGCACGTATAAAAGGAGCCTGGGACCACCAAAAATGGGAAACCGGGCCCACTGGCAGACCAGGCCTTGTAAAGGCTCTACAAAAGTCTCCTTGGAGGTTCATGGGTAGTTGTAAGTGCGGATATAAGTCCCCTAATATGGGGTAAAAGTTATACGTATAGTTACCCTACTTAAAACCCCATTTATAACTGCCAATGAACCTCCAAGTATGGGGCTTGGGGTTTAGGGTTTAGGGTGTTTCAACGCATTGGTAAGAGTTTTGTCGGGTGGCACACGGTGTTTCCAGCGCTTTACCCGCTTTTGATGGACAGGGGGAGGCTCTCAAAACTTGGTTACCTACCCTAAGGGTCCAAAGTACTTGTTTTGTTGCATGTAGGGTTTCTATGTGAGGAATTCTTAGTATGATTTGGGAAAGTCTCCCCCATAACAGTATCCCCCCATAACACTACCTAGGACCCTTTCGGCTAGTTTGGGGTCCTCGTGGCTACGTACTTGTTTTCTGAAGCTCCCACTGAGGGGCTTTGTCAAGCAACACATGAACCTAGTTATCCGACGGGGATGAATTCGCAGCAAATCTGGCCGCTGAATATTTGGACTATTCTAAATAGCCTGACAATATGTGATTGGTTCCTTGAAACTTCCAGCAGGGAAGCATCAATCAAGGATCTGCTGCCGGGAAGCAAGCGCTGTGGAAAGGAGTCAGCGTGCCGAAGTGACCTCGATAAGTGCCGAGGTCAATCTTGACCTCCCGCCAAGGAGCACAGAAAGCTGATGGTTAGGATTTGAGGCTTATGGGTTTAGGTTTAGGGTATTATGGGGCTTACGACTGATGAGGATGAAGACGAAGAAAAGTATTAGGATGATGATGAAGCCACCCAGACCTTCCAAAATCCCTTAATTAAGGAATATACCTTAAATTAGAGTAAGATCCCTAATATGATTTAAGGTATATTCCTTAATTAAAGGATTTTGGAAGGTCTGGGTACAAACCTTGCAAAATCCCTTAATTAAGGAATATAAATTATAGTAGGATCCCTAATATGATTTAAGGTATATTCCTTAATTAAGGGATTTTGGAAGGTCTGGGAAGTTTCTTCTTCCGACATGTGTCGTAGATCCACTGCAGGAATCTCCGCCACTCTGCGTTCCCATTGAGAGCTGTGAGAGCCATATTCAGTCCCTAAACCCCTAAACCCTTAAACCCTAAACCCCTAAACCCTAAATCCCCATCGCGCCGTGCGGTGAGGGGGTGTCGTCGGCTGCAAACGGTCTGCGAGGAGGGTTTTTGTGCATGGCCGATGGCAACGTCCGCGACCTCTTTCGCCAACCCGCAGTAATTAAAAGAGCTAAACTGTAGCACCAATTCGTATCATTGCTTCCCTTGCCTCAAGCAGCATATACTATATGTTACAGTATGTTATGGTTTGTTTTTAGTACAGTATACCCTAGTAGTAATGCTTTTATAGCTTCCCTTGCTTTAATATGAGGACTAAGGGTCGAAGGATGAACATATGTAACACCTAACTGAGGTGTTTAAGAGTTTAGGGTTTTAGGGTTTAGGGTTTAGGGCTCCGCAATTCCAGATCATGAGAGGTTTAAGGTTTAGGGTGTATGTAAAGTTCCTTTAAAGGTTCCTTTACAGGGCAGTGTTCTATAATAGGGTCACCTTTAAAAGCGTGCTAAGGGGTTCTATAATAATTTTCCCGTAAGGGTTCCGATAAGGCTACTATTGGGTTAATGGGGTTCAGGGATTTAGGTTCAGGGGAGTTTAGGCCTTGAGTTTGGGAATCCCATAAGCGTACACCCCACACGGTTCAGCCGGAGGTTGTAGGGCTTAGGATGGGCTTGGTGTTGTGTTTACTGTAGGGTTCCAGCCTAGACCAAAAACCATGCCCTTGGTTAAACAAGAGTTTTTGGCAATGTAAGGGATCAGGAGACTTGGCCAGCTGGGACTAAGGCCACAATATACTTTCAACTCTGAGAGCCTCAATAAACACTTCTAACATCTTCTGACCCGACTCGCAAGCATCATAAACGTTCGATAGCCTCATAAGAACCTTCTGACAAACTGAATTTCCACTTTCAAACTTCCGGGTCCTGCTTGATGTCATAGAGCAGGAAGGAATCGAAGGTGCGAAATTTGATTCCAGCCGACTCCAGCGCCCTGAAAGGGAAGCGATTGCACTGCTTGGCATTTATCATACAAGGTCTATGGTTTCGGCTTCAGTATGTGGGTTTCCGAAAATTAGGGGTACCTTATTTTGGGGTCATTATAATAAGGTTCCTACTATTTAGGGTACTATATTAGGGTCCCCTGTGTTCGGAAAGTCCCGTATCTCTTCGAGATCGTGAGACTTGCCTAGGCATCACCGGTCAGCAGCGGTTGAACCTCTACCTGAACCCTCCCTTTCTTAGGGTTCCCTAATATGATTTCTATATACAAGTCCTTAAAACGGTAGGCTATTGGGGGTTAAGGTAGACCTAAGAGTAACCTAGGAATAAAATCGGGTGCCCTTTTTGGTTTAAAGGGGCTTCTAAGTTAACCTGAACCCTACACAAAGGGAATAAGGGCTTGCTCTACATCCTAGACGTTCACGCCGACAGGAAATAGCAAACACGGTTGAGGGTAAAAAGGTTTAGGTTTTAGCATCTCGCAGGCTTCAACATCAAAATCTCCTGCCGTCGCACCGCTGCCCAGGCACAGGGCGTTGGGGAGCAGACTAGGTGCCTCCATCCTTCTCACACAGGCGAGCTGGCCATGTGATGCTTTCTTCACGTAGAAAATACCTTTAAGATATGAAGATGAACTGAAGAAGCAGAGAACAGCCGTAAACACGCTAGACTTCGTCACGATTGGTCACAGCAGCAAAAGAAGACGATATCCTCACACAGTTAGAGCGTCCGGTGATGCCAGGAATTAAGAACAAAGGGGAAATTATCAAGACACAAAAAGGATCAAAAGACATAATGGCGGAAAGAAATTAACAATCTAATTTCGGTATAATGAATAAAGCATTAAGATCGGAAGTAAATTGAGACCGAGGCTACGATGAACTGATAAGCATGATTAATGAACGGGGGGGCGAAAGCCGTCCATGCGTTGAACAAGTTATTGATAGACGGGCAGTTTTATTTAGAAAGAATCAGTTGAGAAGTCAATTTGACACTATTGATTTTCTATAGTTGAAAAACAAGACAAAGTAAAGGACCAGTTAAGACAAACTCAATTAAGACAAACGGCAATGGCAACAGGGTCGCCAATGGCTACAGGTTATGGTGATCGAACGCCATTACATACCTGCGATGTCGACAGATTTGAAACGCCAGAAAGTGCTGACTATCGGATGACTAGAGAACAAATTAAAGGAGTAAGAGCGGAACTGGAAAAGCATCAACAATGCCAGAGAGCCGCACAACAAAGGTCAACAACGGAATGAATGGATGATTTAGACGATGTTCATAGGCAACAACTACCCGAAAGTGCTCCCCATTCAGTCAATGGCGAGTGATGAAGTGGATGACGATGATGTACCATCTTTAGAAACACTTGCTGAAGTAGCAGAAGAAAAAGAGGAATAACATACTGATAAAACCAAAGTGACCCACAGTGTAGAACACTTAAGGAAACAACGGATGATAAAGGTTATGACAAACAGATGGAGGCAAAGAGTGAAAAATGCTGAAACTGCTACAGAGCCCACTGGAGAGTCAGTATTCAAGACAGACATGTAACAAAGCACGGGGGAATTGGGAAGAGCAAGAAAACAAACATAGCAAACACCCCAAACCCTTGAACCCCTAAACCCTACACCCTAAGCCCTTAATCCCCAAAACCCCTAAACCCCAAACCCCTGAACCTAAAAAACACTAAGTTAACCCTTAGACCGCCTTAAAGGGAGCCTAACCTAGGGCCCCAAAAAAGCACATAAGCAAAAACGAGGATAGGGATATCCCATATAAACGGTTTAGGGTTTAGGGTTTAGGATAGGGATATCCCATATAAACCCCCTTATAAGGAAGCCCAATAAGCTAGGGATATCCCCGGTAAAATGCTTATGCTTATGTGCTTTTGGGTCCCTAATCGCCGGAGCCAGAGGATGCCTCGCCACCTCGCGGTCGACGGTAGAGCCCTGCGGTCCGGTAGGTTGCACGGCGCTGCCTTACTTGGAGGGTCGGGGGAGATAGTAACTGGTTATTGTAGGGTCTGAGAAGTACCATAACCCCAATGAGGGTCCCTTTTAGGGTAATTACTTATAAGTCTACTTGCTACCTACTCCAAGAACCCAGAGACTCCGAAACCCCTTAATTAAGGAATGTCGCCCTAAGGGTTCCTGAAAGGGATGGATCTATAAGGCTACTAGAAGCGACGTAAGGAATATACCCCTTAAATCTTATTGGGGCTCCGATAATAAATTTAGGTATATTCCATAATTAAGGGGTTTTGGAGAATCTGGGAGCGTAGGAAAGGCTTTCTAGGGTTTAGGGCTTAAGGTTTGATGTTTAGGGTTTGAAGTTTGGAGTTTAGGGTTTAAGGTTCAGGGATTAGGGGCTAAGGTTTGGGGTTTAGGGTTGGGAGTTAAGGGTTTGATTTGGGGTTTAGGGTTTGGGACCTACGCGCCTGCAGACTCGAACCGCTTTAATCATAATCTAAGAAACAAGCCTTTAAGCTTTAAATTGCAGAGGAGCTGGTAAAATGTGGGAAAGTTCTGCTACAATAGGTTTTAGGCTTGGGGACTGGGGGCTTTCGGAGGATCTTCAAAGGTTCGTCTAGAGCTTTGAGCCTTTGGGATTTTGCTGATTATATGTCGGCGGATATTTTTTGCTTTTTAGCGGGGGGTTATGCAGGGGCCTTCATGATTGCAATACAGATGTGTTATGATGTGTTGGGGTATGTCATAGTATAGCTACACAGGGAAGGTGAGGAGGTATGATGGGGCATACGATTACTTGGAGGGTCGTGGGACTTAGTAAGTAGGTAGTAAGTAGACTTATAAGTACCCCAGCAGGGACCCTAATTGGGGTTATGGTACTTAGAACTCCGTAGAATAGCCAGTTACTAAGTCCCCCGACCCTCCAAGCACTCTAAACCCTAAACCCTATAGCCTTAATTATAGAAGCCCTATAGATCCCTTTACAGGCTTTAGGGCCCTCCAAGTAGTACTGGTTCAGACCCCTATAGCTATTGCAACAGCTGCCAGCAGTTTCGGGGGCTTTGCGGCTCAGTCAAAGCCTCCTTTACTTTACGGGTTCTACTGTTGGGGTTAGACGGGGCCCCCACCCTGTAATAGTGGTATAATAGGAATATAATCGGGCCCTACTATAATCCTTATAGTCACTATTACAGGGTGGGGGCAGCTTCTAATGTTGGGGCCTATTTGTGTATAATAGGTTGAGATTGCAAATCCCATCTTCTTGCTCGGGGTCTCCGCATCGTCAGTAGCCATTGTTTCGAAGAGTGTATAATATAGGGGCCTTAATAATTATGGGGCCCAAAACACTATAAATAATACAAGGAACCCCCCAAAATAGTATTGGTAATCATCAAGGCCCCTTTAGTACAGCAGTGGCATTTATAGCACTGGCTGCTGCTGCAGGTTCACGAGTGTTGCTCCTCATGCTTGTAGTAGCTCGGCTGGGAGAAATAGATGGGCTCATAAGCCTTATGCTTACCCTCAGGGTCCATGTACTTAACTAGTATAGACTTTGGCCCCAATGTACCTACATAGGCAATACTTCAAGGCCGAAGTATATACTAGTTGGGTACATGGACGCTTAGGATTATGATATTAGCTCACATACTCAAACATCAAGACCGAAACGCTCTGGACGCCAGCTCCGCATGCACTTCAACAAGCCGAAGTAGTCAACGTAGACCCCAACCCTAAATCCTAACCCAAATTAAACCCTGAACCCTAACCCTAAGGGTCCAAGTACCCAATTATCATATACTCTCAAAGATAGTAACCTACATAGCTTCTATCCCAAACCCGAGTACCTAATTATTGGGTCCTTTGGACCCTTAGGGTAACCCTAAATCCGAACTGAACCAAGAGGCTCCTTGCAGAACCCCAAAACTGACGCCTCATCGATCCCGAAACCGAACCCTTCAAGGACTGAAAGGGAGCCAAGGCGCTAGTCAAACCCTCCTACTTGGAGGGTCGGGGGACTTAGTAACTGGTTATTTTGGGGACTTTTAAGTACCATAGTCCCAAGTAGGTCCCTTTTAGGGTACTTATAAGTCCACTTATTATCTACTTACTAAGTCCCCGGACCCTCCAAGTAAATCCTAAATCAAGCCCTAACTCCAGAGGGTCCAGATGTATACCACAATTATGGAGTTTATGGAATTAGGTCCCCCGGAATCATTATTAGGATGGTCTTTTGGGACCACATTCCATGTTGGTAGTGTATATGGACCTGCTTGGTAGCCCCAGAATCCTTACTGAGTCAAGGCGCTTGTCAAAACCTCATCTGCTCCTGCTTCCTGTGCTGCAGCCAGGACGGCCTGCACCCGTAAGCCCTGTAAACCCCCAAACCCCAAACTCTAAACCCCCAAACACTAAACTCCCAAACCCTAAACCCCAAACCCTAAACTGCAAACTCTAAACCCCCAAACCCTAAACCCCCAAACCCTAAGCGGGCTGCATGGTTTGGGGTTCACGGCTTCCGGGCTATGTAGAGGCTTCCTATGAAATCTCACATGACATATGTAAAAGGCTTCTTGAAAGATCTAGGGTTTGGGGGTTTGGGGTTTACGCGTTTAGGCTTAGGGTTTAGAGTTTATAGGGGGCGGGGGTTTAGGGTTTAGGGGTTTAGGGTTCTTTGGGTTTGAATATAGGGGCAGGGTCCATTGCACCAGCATTGTAAGAAGTGAAAGGTGTACTTTTCCGAACGACTCGACCCCCATATTCGAGTTTGCAATGGTCTCTTGGGATCTCACAGGAGTGGTCAGTATTGAATTTGATACAAAAAACTGTCAAAGAAAAGAATTCTGGAGTTTATCATCAGGACCTACCTGGAGCCTAAAGAACCTACCCCTTTCAGGACATATACAAAGGAATCATAACCACGAACTCCAAAAAAGGTAGGCTATTTGGTGTTTGAGTGGCCCATAAGCCGGGAGACCTGCTTCCGAGCCAACAGTAAAAGTATACAGAACAAACACGTGAGCATGCGGTCGAGTCTTGGTTCGCATCCGACAACGCGGGCTGAAGCTTGAATGGTGGGGGTGCAACTCCCCAGGTGGTCCTGGTGGAGCGTGTGGTGGCGCAAAACGCGCTGACGGGTGACTCCCATCAGGTGGGACTGCTTCCGGGTTTGCCCCGTCTGCTTCTAAAGTCTTCTGCCCCTGTCCTTCAGGTGAGGGCCTACCGTGGTTGGCAGCGCGTCCTCCGGGATCACCTGGACCGTACAGGATGCCAGGACAGGATGGATGATGCCTACGTCATCACCATCTTCACTGCCGTCAACGGCATGCACGTGCCCTGCGACACAGCGGAGGAGTGGGAACGCGCAGGGAAGCCGCTGGAGGTAAAATTCTATTTCCAGCAGCACTAGCTCCTGGCCTGGAAACACGCTGGCGGGTAGGAGCCTCGGATCTATACCCCGAGGGCGTGACTCCATCCTGCGACCAGTCCTGGTGCGGTCGCGCGTGTGCCCGCGACGTCGGTCTCTATCGTCCCTATCGGACGAGCTTGAGCTGCGCCGTCGGCGACGGGAGCGAGACCTCCGCCC